ATGAGTTAATATCGTCAACTGAGTCCTAAGCTTCTAGAAAGGGATTGTGGGACTCTAATCATGTACTCGTCAGCTCCTGCATGATATAACGGTGTGGTTAGTATTTTTTTAAATCTACACACGAGAAACTACAATTCACCAAAAGCAGCTGTAAAGAAGCCTTATGTTCTCTCCAACTTACTCCTATCTTTTTGAGATGTTTATTTTCACTTCATTTCATTTAGAAATTCCGGATTTCTTGTCACCGGAAGAAGCTGATCACATAATTGATGTAGCTGAATACGTTGGATTTGCTAAAAGTGATATTCACTTGGACCCAGTGGCGAAACAGCACGGGAAAACAGTCAGATCAACTGAAGGTAAATTACAGGTTCAGCCCTAGGCGCTTCGGGCAGTCTTTGCTTGTGGTGGTGTTGCTGATTACAGACATTCAGCCCTAACCCTGGCCTGGAACAAACACTTTACTTTGCAAATCTTTCCGGAGAAAGAAATTTGCAATCAAAAGAAGAAAAAGTTCGGCTGGATTAGGCAGAGATATTGATTACTTTGGGTTTCACAAAATACCCGCAAATGAGTAATACCACTAAAAATGTAGTTCCTTACAAGATGATTTTGTACTTTCGACTTTAAACAGGCCACTCAAATAGCTCTGCTGGATATTTTCTTAACTGGGACTTCGATCGAGATTACGAAATTACAAAAGATGAGGTGAGCTCGTATTCTCTACGTTCACTGAAGCTAGTCAATGAACTTAGACCAATTGGACCTAACTGAGGTTTATCTCATCGCGGGTGAGGAAGGAGTAGGTGGTATCATCCAAGAAGCAGTAACTAGTATGTAATGAACTATGAGACTGCAATTTCCCTTATATAATTTCTTTTTACCCGGGGAATCAATTTGTTTAAGGAGTTAAGACACTACATTTTGAGTCACGCGTAATTTCATGGAGAGCTGCATTTGAATGGAAAATAATCGTAAAATGATTAAGTTTTATTTCTGTAGTCAGGTAAAGGCTGAAGGGAAAGTTAAAGCTGATATAAAACGTAACAGCCATGATCATAATAATGATGGCGATGATGACGATGATGACAATGATGATGATCATTGATTGTCAATTACTTGATGATAGTTTATGTTTAATTATAAACAAACATGGCTCGCGTTGAGGTGGCATTTGAAATTTGAGTCAAGAAGTTGCGAGTTGAAGATACTGAAGCCTACCAGGAGATGAGGAGAAAGAGCTACGAGAACATTCCGCGAAATTTTGAAGGCTATAGTCATATTACCACTAGCCATTTCGGTTTGAGCCCGTTTTTGGCAGAACTACGGACCGAAGAAACTATCATTTACTATCATCTGCTCGTTCAAACGACAAAAACTATCATCAACTATCATGTAGAATTTGAAGATCACCAAATTACATGATAATTGATAATAGTCGATTATAGATGATAGTTCGTGTTCAAACGCGCGTGGTAGTCGATACTATCATGAGTGTTTGGACGGGGCTTTACTTGAGAAATGCACATTTTGTCCTGGTTCAAATTTTAAATATTAGATTTTTCGTTTTTGGAAAAAAAAAAATCACGGCTAGGACTTTCCGATGAAGAATTTGAAACACAACGTACACATATCCATACTTGATTACGCATTACATGAAACCATTTGACTTTCTATTTGTTTCACAGGTGATAATATTTGCTAAAAAGTTTAAACATCTTTATCTTTCACCGAAAGAGGTGGATGAAATGTAAGTTAAATTTTCATTAGTTCATTTCTTTGTTTACCTACCCATAGAGTAAATTACGGCATAACTATGATTAACTCATTTGTTTTACAGGATAGAAAATCTGGAGTTGAAAGAATTCGAAGACGGTAAGCACGAGATATGGTAGATAAAATCAAGTTAGATAGAAAAATTCTTGACCATTTCTCCGGGTTTTTCTTCAAGCCAATACGAGCGCTTTGTGTCTGTCCTATTTGAATGAAGAGTTAGAATGATTGAATGGGAAAGAATTAAACTTCAGATCGCGAGGTTTTTCTTGTAAAAGCGATTTTTTGAAATTCCCTTTCCGAATTCGCTCAGATCAGTTCCACATACACTGTAATAAAGCGGTCTGGGTGCTCACTCGCTCTCTCTTATTTCGATTCTCGACCCAAACGAAGCCAATCGTTTTCAGACATTCCTTCCTAGTCCCCTACTACTAGGAATGCCAAACGTGACCTACAGTTGTGCAAGACTATTGAAAAGATGGTCGGAAAACAGTTTTGAAAAAATGAACATTGTGATGAAGTGGCGCGGAAGCCCATAATTTTCATGGTACACATGACACTTATTTTTATCCGCTTTCAACAGGCAAAATAGAATACCCCGAGTGGAGGACATTTAAAACACACGCCATTGACATGTACATGAATGATATAAAAGAGAAACATCCTCATCACAGAGATCGCTTCAGTGATCAAGTGTGGCTCTTCCAGACAGCTGAAGCAGATGATGTTTTAAGAAGACTAAGAGAACGGTAAGCTTACAGATCATTCCAACACATGATCCTGCTTTTCCAATTTTTGCAAATAAGCATGCGTGCAAATGTTGGGAAGACTGGCAAGTCTGGAGTCAATTATTTGCACCGAGTTACTATCAAAAATACCAGTCCTTCAGTTTTGAGAGATCTTCATTGGTTGCAAGACTCAATGATAGTGTTTTTTAGTTGGGATTTTGTTTCCGTCTTGAAAGTCAAGTCACTCTAGGGGCCTCTTAAGTAATTTTAAAGTTGACAAGAAGTTTCTCACGGGGAT